GGCGGGCAGACTCGCGTGCTTGAAGCCGGCCTCGGGTCCTCGGTGCCTGGAGCCGAAACCTCCATCCCGATCTCCACCCGGCCGGGACCACGACCCGGAACCGGCCAGGCCAGGCCCCCGTCCCCCGGGCCGATGGACTACTCCTACCTCAATTCGTACGACTCGTGCGTGGCGGCCATGGAGGCGTCCGCCTACGGCGACTTCGGCGCCTGCAGCCAACCTGGCGGCTTCCAGTACAGCCCCTTGCGGCCTACATTCCCCGCGGCGGGACCGCCTTGCCCTGCGCTCGGCTCCTCCAACTGTGCGCTTGGCGCCCTACGCGACCACCAGCCCGCGCCCTACTCGGCAGGTGAGCGCAGCCCCAGCCCAACCCTCTCTCTAAATCCCGCGGATCCCCTAGTCCCTTCCCTATTCGGCTGTCCCCCACAGCCGCCCCATCCTTGTCCTGGCCAGACCTTCCAGCGCCCTGTGAGACCCCTAGCAATACCAGGGTCCTCTCGGCAGGGTCGAGCCACACCCTCATATCTCTCCCGTCCCTCCATCTCTCTACCAGTCTCTATCCTGTGCCCATCGGGTCAAGGAAATAAATTGCAGGTCCAGCCCTGGCCCCTTACCAGGCCCTCCCTCACCTGCAAAGACTAACCACCACCAAACCTCTCCCTTGCCTGTATCCTTGGAAGAGATTCCCAGTTCAGTCCATTCAGACCCCTATCTATGCCACCCCTGCCCCATGTGCTGCGCGACCCCCAGCAAGGACTCCTGCAGCAGCTGTGCTTCCAGACTGGAACCTTCCTAGAGCCCTGGCACCATCAGGCTCCTCCTACCCAGTCTTGGACCATCCTGCCTGGGCCCAAACCCTTCAGCACCAGCAAAACCAGCTCCCATTGCCACAGAAAAAGGGACCCATTCATTAAGCAACTGTCATCCCCCGCTTCCCAACTCTCCCAGCTAGCATCCTACAGAACTCAGAAGGCATCCGCTCCATCCTACCAGTAAGCCCTTTGGTCCATGTCCCTGTGGGAACCCTCAATCTCACTGAGCCGCTCAAACATCTCCACCCCTTCAGTTAGGGTCCCAACCTGCCCCACCCAGACTCCTGTCTCCGCCACTCCTGGGAAGACCATGGAGGTCCCAAGTAGAAGCCAGGATGGGGGTGGGGGCTAAGTGCCTGGATTGGGGGAAATGAGAACCCGAGGGTGCAACCACCTACTGGAACAGGGATGAGGAGATTGGCCACCCAGGCCAGATGAGGAGGGGGATTGGGGAAACAGGGACAGGAGACAGGCCTCAGGGAGACAGGGCTCTGAGACTGGAGCAATCGGGGTAAGGCACAGAAAGACAGGAGGGTAAAGGCGAGCTTGGGGACCCTGACAGAAACGAGAAACCAGGCTTGGGGAATGGAGATGAGAACCAGGTGATGTGGGACCTGAATTATGAGAGACCAGGACCAAAAAAAAATTAGAAACAGATAATGAAAATGAGGACAGGAATGGAGACCAGGGTCAGGGGAGATGGGAACCTGCAGAGATGGGACAAAATGGAGATAGGGGACCCCAAGGAACATGTGGAAACCTAACCCTGGGGGCGCTGGGGGAGTGGGGTGGAGCACAGGAAGGGAGTGAGGGAGGGGTGGGACGGGTATGTAAGAACCATGGGACCCAGAGTGGGAGCGGGAAGAAGGGCAAAGACTCGGGTGGAAACACGTAAGAGCCCTCCTCAGTGGGCACAGAGAGTGGTCCAGATGGGGAAAGCTGAAGGGAAATTCGGGTGAAGGAAGGTGAAGACGAGGAACAGCAGAGGAGAGTGGAGCCCAGGAATTAGAGATGGGGCTGAGGAAATGAGGCCCCAGGAGTAGGACCGAGGGGACCAGATCTGTAAACAGCACAGAGCCAATGGCAGGGCTGAAGGAGAACTGTCAGGAGTCTTGAAGCCCAGCATCAGCTAATAGAGAGACACCTAATGCACAGGAGAGTTGGCAGCCATCCTGGGCTGGTGTGGACAGAGCAGGACCTGAAGGCAGGCAGGCAGAGGGTTGAGGAAGAGACACAGGACCCGCAGAGGAGATGGTACAGGGAGATAGAGGGAACGGTGCAAAGCCAGTGACAGGTGGAGGATTGGATGCGGGAGCATCGGGTGCTGGTGTCCTGATTTCTGGCCGCTCTTGAGCCCCAGGACTCCCCTCCTCTCTTTCACCACTGCCGGCTGGGATGTGGGAACCAAACCGAGGAGCTAGGCCGGGGACTGGGGAGGGGTGGTGAGGATCCCTGTAGGGCGTAAGTAAGCGGGCAGGGCTCGGCTTCGGCTTCTCACGCGCCCCTCCTTGCCCCTGCCCTCTGGCACACAACCACAGTGCCCTACAAGTTCTTCCCCGAGCCATCCGGCCTACATGAGAAGCGCAAGCAGCGGCGCATCCGCACCACGTTCACGAGCGCTCAGCTCAAAGAGCTGGAGCGCGTGTTCGCTGAGACCCACTACCCGGACATTTACACGCGGGAGGAGCTGGCGCTCAAGATCGACCTCACTGAGGCTCGCGTGCAGGTGCGTGCAAGCACGTGTGTGTACATGCACACGCGTGGAGGGGGCTGTGGGAGGTGACACTTGGGTGTCAAGGACAGCTTCGACCTGGAAACAAGGATCTGCCCAGGTGTGGTTAGGCAGCCAGGAGAGGCAGCTAGGAGACAGCTCTTGGGAGACCCCAACTGTTTAGCTACTTGCTCTCCCCTTCTTTTTAAATCCAGCTTCTTCCTAGAGCTGAAGGTTCGGAATTTTAGTGGAGAAGCTTGTATTCTGCAGCCTTGTGGAGATGGGAGGAGGAGGGAGATTTGCAGCCAGCACTTACAGATGCCCTCCCGGGCCGCTACAGCCCACCCACGAAACCCCTGAGCCCCGGCAGCCTGATGTGGGGGCTGGCGCACCGCCAGGAGAGGCGGCCAGGGATTTCGGATCCTCTGTTCAGTTGATCTGTTTGGACTGGAGGCCCTGGACATAAGCTTTCCCTCGCACCCCAATGCACTTCTCACAGCCCTGGGACGATCCAAGCAGATCTCTCCGGTTTCCTAAGAGGGGATTGGGATGCAGGTCTTAAAGTCAGGAGAATAAAGGTAGAGCCCCATCAGAAGACCCAGAATAATGCGAGGCAGCCGGGTTCATGGATGAGGAGATCCTAAGGGCAAAATCCCAACGGCCTGGAGGACAGGGCAAGTGGAGGAGAGTGGAGAGGACAAGGGCTAACGAGGGGCGAAGGGCTGAGGGGCCAATGCTCAAAGGCTTTGGACCTCCCCCACTGCTCATAATCGGCGGGACACTTTCCGGACCCAAGTGTCACTTGCGTCTCGGGCCCCTGACTGACCTTGTGCGCTCACCGACCCTTGCCCGGATTGACTGGCCCGTTCACAGGTCTGGTTCCAGAACCGCCGTGCCAAATTCCGAAAACAAGAGCGCGCTGCCAGCGCCAAGGGCGCGGCGGGCCCGACGGGAGCCAAGAAGGGTGAGGCGCGCTGCTCCTCGGAGGACGACGACTCCAAGGAGTCCACGTGCAGCCCCACGCCCGACAGCACCGCG